AAGCAGCCCAACACAAATATAAGCTGTGAACACTGAAAACCATTGATGCCATTGTAAACTGGTTCTGCTCCCGGCAAACGCAACATGTACGAATGTTGGGGAGCTTGCTGCGCTGCCGGGAGCCCTGCTGGGCCGACGTGCTCGACGACGACGGCGACGGTCCCGCGGCAAACGCCCCCGAGGGGAGCCCGTGGCGCCGACGACGGGCCTCAGCCCGCCTGCGCGGCCGACCAGGCGGGCGACGGCTCGGAGCGCGCGCACGCGGCTAGTGCCCCACGGGGGCGGCCCGCGACCGATGCGATGCGCCCTCCGCCCCACTCGCGGGGGCCGCCCCTGGTGGCCGACGCCCGCGCGCCCGGCGGCGAGCTGCTGGGACGCGCGCCCGCGGCGAGCGGCCCGAGGGGGCTGCCCGCGACGCCGCGCCTGCGGCGGGCGCTTGCCGGGGGGCCGACGCCGGCTGGACGTTGGCGGCTGAGGCTACACGCCGCGGTTGGAAGCGCTTGGGGCGGGCGGCAGCTGGCGCCGCTGGCAGCCGCCGCGAAGCGACCAGCGCCGGCGGCGCAGGGCTTGGCGCCGAACGTCCAGGCGCGGCGGCGGCAGCAGGCGCTGGCGACGCCGCGACGAGCGCCTCCCCGAGCGCCGGCGCGCCGCCCGCGAGCGCGTCCCCGGTGGGAGGCGGCCCCGGACGCAGCGCGGGCGTCCGCAGCGGAGATGCGGGCGTTGGCCAGGAGTGGCTCGTCCAGGGGCGCTGGACGGCTGCGCGGGCGTTCGCCCGCCCGTTGGGCGCCTCCACGGGAGGCAATCTGGGCGAGGCCAAGCAGCGGCTCGCGGACGAGTTGGCGGAGATTGGCGACGCACGCAAGTGGCCCGGGCGGTCGCGCACGCCGCGCGCACGCGGAGGCCTAAGCGTGGCTGATTCGCCGGCGTCGCCAGAGCGGTTCCGCCTCTCCGCGCGCGGCGCCGGCGCTGCGGCCGTGGCGGGGCGCGTGGCGCGGCCGCCCCCTCGCCAGCCTTGGGCCTCCTGAAGGCCTGGGCGCGCGCCCAGCGCGCGTTCCCCCCCTCCCCTCCCCGCCCCCCCCTTCCCGCGCCCTCTGTCAGTTCGTTTCGTCGTCGTGGTTTCTTGCCAGCTGGTTAAAACATGCGTAGGCCACTTGTGCTGTGGCGCATGTGACATTTCAGGATACTCAACCGCTATCCCTCCTTGCGGCCTCCCGCTGTCAGTTCTCCCTCTTTTCCCTCTCCACCCTACCTCCACAACCCAAACACACCTTCACCCCCGACCGCGACACGGGTGATGCAGACGTGCTGTAGCTTTTCGGGATCGGCAAACGCACGAGCGCCAGTTTCGAACACCACCGAAATCTCGCCGCCACCCCCAAGCACGGTCCCGGCACCCCGCATGCCAGGAGTGCCTGCGGGTGCGCTCCCCCGCCCCTCCCCCGTTGTTCGGCCCCTCCGCCCCTCTCGTCCCCTCCTCCGTCCTGCGTTCCTCCTTACTTCCTCCCTCGACCTTTCCCCCCCCCCCCCCCGCCCGCGCGCACGGCGCCCTTCCCCGCTCCGCCGCCGGTCCCAGGCAGGCGCTGCGGGCCGGCGGCTTCAGCAACCTGTCCACCTCCTCGCTGTTCTGCAGCGGCCGGCGCGGGCGGGGCACCGTTGACTCCCCGGACCCCGTCGACTCATGAACAAAAACAGCGACGGACGGTTTCTCGCTATTGTTACCCTCTGGGGGCCCTCCCAGGGCCCCGGGACCGCCAAGCAAATCTTCAGGATGTAAAGCCAATCTTGGTGGATTGCTCGAGACCACGTGGGGTCGTTCTCATGAAAAATCGTGACGTCGAGGGTCCGGATCCCAATCCGCGGAATGGCGATTTCTGATGTATGTTGGGAAGTTTCCGCCATCTATTTCTAGCTCCTTTGATTTCGATGTCCTCCGTGCTTCTTTGCCGTTGCCGTGTCCGCCACATGTTCGCGGAAATATCCGCCCTTTTTTTCCGAGACGGCAGTTTCCGTCGTATGTGTTCGCATCGTTTGGTGTGCATGTGCGACAATTGTTAGTGGGAGCACCAACCCAAATACGGCGGAACCGTTGGCGCTGCGGGGGTCGGCTGCTCGTCAGCCCAGACATGCCCGCGTCGTGAAAAACATCACCACGGGATGCGTTTTGTCCTTTTCGGTCTCCACCGGCCCTCGACGGGCCCCGGGACTGTCGAAAACGGGCTCGGGATGAAACACCAGTTGTGGGGAGATGGTCTGGACTTCAAGGGGCCTCGCGTTAAAAAACAGGGTATCAGACGTTTGAGAGAGTGACCTTTCGCTGGAGTGATCTGTGGTGCGAGGTCACACCGGGCGGGGCTAGGACGAGGATAAATCTGTCCCAGAGCGATCCAGAAAGCTCTCAGAGCATTTCGGAACAATCTGAGAAGGCCGCGGCGTCCGAGACATCCCCAGGAGCCGCCAGATCTCAGAGATTCCCATTCCATCCCCGCCCGAATTGATCCTCGCCCTGGCTTCGTCTTACCACCGACGTGTTCCCCGCACTGGCCTTCAGGCCAGGACTTTGCCTCCCCCCCCGCGGCCCCCCGAGAGCTGCGCACCAGAGGTCACCCCCGGCAAAGGGCCGCTCCTGCGTGCAGGCGACCGAACCCTTCTTCGGCGGGTCCGATCGCCGACAAGCGACGAGAGGGCGCATGGTTACACACTGTTCATGTCTCATTCTTCGAGGGTTCTTTGATTTTGTTGGGGGGCCAAGATCCTTTCATTTCTAATTGTTGTATCCTGGGCCTCTTCCTGGCCACTAGGGGGCCAGGAATAATTAGAAATGATCACAGTTAGAAATGAGCGCGATTAGAAATGAACGACGTGTACGCTGGGGTTTGGCTTGCGACCGGGGAGCACGACGCTGTCCTCGTCGGGCCTCCTTGGGGCGCGGCGGGTGGCTCTTTCGAGGTCCTCGCCCGCCCCCAGGGTGCCCCCCAGGTTGCCAATTGCTAGCCTCACCCTGTGGAGTCGCCGAGATCGATGCTGAGGCAATTCTCGGACACACCCGTCCGGGCCTGAGGTTCACCTGGCTGCAGGCATCCCTCAAGCTCTGAGCCTGAGCCGGTTTTTCATGAATCTGACCTGTAGGGTTCGGGTTCACATGCGAGCGGACTGAAATAACGGGTTCGAGTGCGCGGGCAGTCGAGCGTAAGGCGCCTGCGTGAGGTCGCGCGCAAGTGCCCTTGTCTCCAATGTACTGTTCCGCGCTGGTGGCCAGCGGAAGCCACCGCGCAAGGTCGCCATGCCATCGCGCGTAAGACCCGTCTCTGTTCGTAGCTCATGAGGGGGCCACCCGCCTTGCGGGGGGGCACTCCTCCGGCCAGGATGCGGTTCGAAGTCTCAGGCGTTCGATCGGCTTCTTCGCTTCTCGGCGGTTCGGTGGGCGTTTCTTTTGGCTCCGGGGAGGCCCGAATGCATATTTCTTCATTCGAGCTCTCTAGAGCTTCCTACGTCCCCAAAGGCGCCAACAGGCTCCCGATCACCCTCAAATGCAAGTTCAACGGCTTTGGCGACGCCTCGTGGACGTTCGTCGGGTTCGTCGGGCTTCCAGGATCTCTCGAAGAGTATCGGGAGACGGCCAACATTGCTCAGCATTGCTTCCAAGACGCCTCAATGACAGCCAGCTTACTCCAGAACCACGTCCAAGAGGCCCTGGGTGGCCACCTGCATTCCCCAAACCAGTTTAACAGGCCCCAACAACGTCCCCAACACTCAAAGATGGCCCAGCATAGCTTCCAACACGGCCCACCCCCAGGACCTTAGCCCTCAGACAACCCCAAGACACCTCGAACGCTCCACCGACTGCCCTTTCCGACTCCTCCACTCTTCTGCCAAACTTTGATAAATCAAATCACAGCGCCCTCACGAAGCTTCCAAGCTACTCCCTCCTGACGAACGTTGTAGACACCTGCCCCGCCGCACCCCCGAGCGCGCGCCCACGCGCGCGCGCGCCCGTCGTCCACTTGCCGTCGTGTTTTGCGGTTGCCTTCCACTTCCATGGCCCTATACATGCTGCTGGGTCCAGTCCAGGGGCCGCCTCTCGGTCCACGCATTGTCCTCACTATGCGCTACACCAAGATTTTACAGCAAATCGCAGCAAGCTTCACGTTTTATGTGTATGTGTGCATATATGTATATATATATATATATATATCTTTATATATATATATATATATGTCCACATACCCTCGAGTGGATTTCTCCTTGGCCTCGTGGGAAGGGTCGCGGTGTATAAATTACTACCACGAGCCAGTGATCCAAAACGCACCAGTCGGCGGCCGTTTGTGTACACGTGTGTGTGTACACGTGCTTGTGACGTAGGATGGGCGGGAGGTGAAGGATGTCATTCGTGGCGCGAGCACGCCTAGCTTGTCGCATGCCCTCTCCCTCCCCTCCGGCTGCCTCTGAGGGTCCAGACCCGACAGGCACTCCAGCACTGGAAGGGCGCGCGCCCTGCTCCCACCCTGCCTGCTCCCCCCTGCTCTCCCCTGCCTCGTCCTCCCCTCCCTTCTGCCCGTCCAGCCGCCGAGCTGGCGACGCGCCACTCGATCCCCGAGCTTACCGTGCTCCCTCCTGTCCGCTTGCTGGAGCGGTCGAGCGACATCAGCTCCGAGATCACAGTGGCCTTCGACGAGGATTGCAAGCGCACGAGCTGCCACGAAGAGAGCGAGGAGGAGGCGGAGGACCAGGAGAGGAGGAGGAGGAGGAGGAGGAGGAGGAGCAGGAGGAGGAGGAGGAGGAGGAACATGAGGAAGATGAGGAGGAGGATGAGCAGGAGGAGGAGGAGGAGGAAGAGGAGGAGGGAGAGGAGGAGGAGGAGGAGGAGGAGGAGGAGGAGGAGGAGAAGCAGGAGGAGGACGAGGAGAAAGAGAAGGAGGGGGGGGAGGGGGAGGAGGAGAAGGAGGAGGAGGAGGAGGAGGAGGAGGAGGAGGAGGGAGGAGCAGGGATAGCAGTGGGGAGGGCATGCCCCAAGACGCTGCGCGATCTCCTATCAGCGCCGGCGCAGCGCAGAAACGGCGGGCCCCGCAGATCCCCCGAGGTCGTGGCGCCTACTCGCGGCTGCACTACGACCAGAACGCCAACCTCTATCTGCAGGTGCCGGCCGAGGGGCTCGGTCCGAGGGCCGCCGCTGCAGGGGACGGCTGCCGCAGCTGCTGGGGGTGCTGCCGCCTCCATTGGGACATGTGACCTTTCGCCAGAGTGACCTTTGGTGCGGGCCCAATGGGGTCCCCCGATCGCCGAACGCGAAGGGACAGTTGCGTCTTGCGCGCTTGGGTTTGTCCCCTCCCGCGGCTCCCCGAAAGCCGCGTACCAAAGGTCACTCTTTCCCAGGATCACTTCTGCGTGTAGCCGATGGTAGAGACGGGGGCCACTGCAAACGGGAACCGCCAGAGCGCTGGAGCTTGGAGGATGCTGCAAAGGCAGGGTTGCATTGACTCGGGCTGGCGTGCAGGATCCTACAGGATTCTACAGGATTCTGCAGAGCCCGACAGACTTCGGTGTACATTGACCCGGGCAAGCAGATCCCCAAGTGGCTGACCACGCTGGGCTACGCATCCCTCGCCAGATTCACCTCCTGGTGCGGGCCCACGGGGATTTGGGATCCCGCCAGCATTGGGTGGTGCGCCTGGGTTGCTTGGATTTCGCTTTCCCTGCGCTTGTAACTTGCGGCTCTGAGAGCGACCCTTCGCCGAGTGACCTCTGGTGCGGGCCCACAGGGATCCCGTCAGCACTGGGTGGTGCGCCTGGGTTGCTTGGATTTGGCCTTCCCTGCGGCTTTCACTCGCGGTTTTGAGAGTGGCCCTTCGCCGGACCGACGTCTGGTGCAGGCCCACAGGGTCAGAGGCGGCCTAACCGGCCCCTAGCAAACCATCCCCTTCCGTGACGTCCCCCTCGCCTCACCCCAAGGCGTGCGTATGCTGCCGGAGGGAAGCCTGGAGGGCGCGGGGGACGTCACGGAAGGTGTTCGTCACGGTAGGCCGCGCCAGACCAAGGAAGGTGTTCGACACGGAAGGCGTTTGACAGGGATCTCGCCAGCAATAATTGGCGCGTTTGGATTGGTTGGATTTGGCCTCCCCAGCGGCCCCCTAAAGCCCCGCACCAAAGGTCACGATTTTGGTCCAGGGCCACTGCTGGGTGCAGCCGACTCTGTGTCAGGGCCGACCCAAGGCAGCGCGCCCGAGAATGACCAGTCGGGCTATCCGCGGGAGCTCTTTAACGATCCACCCGCATGTGCTCTTGGCTGGTAATGGAACTCGTCCCTCCCCTCTTCGTCCGTCCCCTCATCATCATAATGGAGGTTCGCATCTCCCCCCACCGATCATCAGCAGTGGCCGCCGCAGCCGCCGGGGAATAAGTACTTTTTACCAGCGGGGTCTCAATCCGTCCATATGTTGATGCTTCGCATATCCCCACCAGCAGATCCAGAATCGATGCCCAGGGGAGTTGAGGTGATCAGCGGAGTTAGTTGGGGAGCATGCCAAATAATCAAGGGCGGGGGAAGCCGTCCGATACTCCAAGAGAGGGAGGATGGTGGAGGGGAAGGAGGAGGGTGAAGATGAGGAAGGAGGAATAGACAGTGGACAAGCAGCAGGAGGAGGAGGAGGAGGAGGAGGAGGAGGAGGAGGAGGAGGAGGGGCGTCTTGGTGAGCTCAGGGCCGTCTGTGAGCGTCTTGGGTGCCTCGGGGATGCTCTTGCTCTTGGGGGCCTCTTCGGAGCCTCTTGGAGATATCTTGGGCGCCTCTTGGGGCCGTCTGGGCGCCTCTTGGGGCCATCTTGGGGCGCTCTTGGGAGCCTTAGGTGCGCTCTTGAGGCCATCTTGGGGCCCTCCTGGGGCCCTCCTTGGCTCTCTTCTTGGGAGCTATGGAGCGCTTCTGGGGCCATGATGGAGGCCATCGATCAGAGGAGAGAGGGTCCTCTATGTGCGTCCCCCCTCCGGGGCCCCACAAATCGCCTCTTGGTGCCCTCTTGGGATGCTCTTGGGGCGATCTTGGACGCTCTAGGGGCCGTCTTGGGGGCCTCTTGGGCCTCTCTTGGGGCTCTCTTGGGCCATCTTGGGGCCATATTCAGGCCTCTGAAGCGCATCGGAAGCGAACAGGCGAGAAGGCACAACTCATTGATTTTCCGTATGTTATTTGACGGATGTTGGCTTCCGGGGAGGTCCCGAAAGAGCTCCGAGAGCACCTGGAACTGTCTTGTGGCCCTCTTGGTGCCCCTTGGAGGCATGATGGACGTCATCTTGAGCGACCTCGTGCTATCTTGAGCCATCTTGGAGGCCACCTTTGAGCATCAGAGGCCCTCTCGGAGCCATCTTGAGCGAAAAAGGGCCCTCTGATGACTCGCGGCACCCCCCCGTCCAGGTCCAGGGGAGGGGTAAGCCCCTCCCCGAAGGGGAAGAAGGAGTTTTGGAAGAGGGAAGCAAAAATATCGTTAGACCACCTGCGCCCAGAGGGCTGGTGGGATTAGTTCCCAGTGCTGGGGAGGTTATGAAAGACCAATCGCGGTTATTCGATTGTTCTCACCGGCATGGCCTTGCGGGCCCAGAAGGGATCAGTGGCAACGTTCGGCTCAGGGCGGATGAATCGACCCCGAATCGCCCATTCATCGCTGGAAGAGGCCCGATAGCCCACCCCCGCCCAGGAACGTGTAATTTCGCCCTCGGGGGCCCATCGCCGATCTATCGGCGATGTGTCACCAGGCCTGAGCTGGTACACCCCTAGCTCGGCGGCTCCCCAGAGGGCGTGGCGAGAGGGGGATGGCCTTCTCAGAAAGACAGGGCCCTTCTCAGAAGGGCCTCCGCCTTCTCAGAAGACCGCCTCCCTCGCGCCTCCCCCTTTTTCAGGCGCCGCCAATTGGTTTTGCCCCTCGAGGGAGTCCCCCCAGCGCTGGCTTGCGCGCTTAGATTTGGACTCCGCGCGCCCACCAAAAACCGCGCGCAAGAGTTTCCTCTTGCGTAGGGTTGCTCTTGCGCGTAGCCGATGTCGAAGGCCGAGGCGCCCGCTAACCGAGCCCGCCTCCAAGCGGCCTGGTAGGGGTATCTCCTGCGCGATCGTGTCTGAGAGGTCGCCATGCAGGAATATGTTCCTGAATGTTTTCACCGTGCTCGGCCTTTCGGTACGCTCCCGGGGGCCCCGGGACCCTCTGACGACAGCTTAGGATGAGGGGATGGTTCGGAGGGAAGCCCCGGGGTCCAGGGCCTGTCTCCCTCTGGAACCCACGCCGTTGCTGGTGGTGCTGGGGCTGGAGTGGCTGGCGGGAGGGGCCCCGATGGGCCAGATCCAAATGCCCGTTCGAAGCACTGGGGAACTGACCGGAAGGCTGATACAGTCTCAGTCTCTACCCATTTTGTCTCGAGGTATCGGGTCAATCAATCTCCCGTTAACGGGGAGGGGCAGCGAAAGTAGGGCAATCGGGAGAGGGGGGAGGGCCCGGCGGCGAGGGGGATGGACGGAGGGTGGAGAACCAGTAGGGGGCGGGAGGTCGGCGAAGCGGAGCAGGAGGACAGAGGATGGAGGTGACCCGGCACGCATCATGTTTTCTACACGTGCGCCCTGGGTGCATGTTGCACATGCAATGCGACGGCATGCCGATTATGTTGACCAGGCGACCTCAGGGCTCGGTGTGGCGTTGCGTGTTTCTGCCACACGGTTTATGATTTACCATCCGCGCGATGCAGTACAACATTTGCATGTGCAAAGGGGAGAGGCGGAATAATGGGGCGAGCAGTAGCTGAATGAACCGGGGGATGATACGTATTGTGCGGAGGCAGAAGATGATGGTATCTAACACTATGACATTTAGTCATTTAGTCGATGCCACAGGTCTCTTGGCATCCTGCATGTGCGCATCTCGAGCATATACGCAGTCAGCGGAACACACATTCGATCAACACCCAAATCCAGAGCACGTGAATAACAGACGTGCGAATTCGCCCGGGCAATGGGGCACCACATCCGATTATACATGAAAGCCTTCATGTCAAAGGCAACATGGGTTCAGATTTCGTGTGGGATGAATGGAACCCCTGGGCCTTTTATAAGGACATGGCGCGAAATTTAATTACATGGCACGAAGTTCAGACCACATGCAATACGGTCGGGGACGTCTGCTTAGCGTATCGCTCCGCCGGTTCTGGCCCACCACGCTTCGGCGCGACACGCCAGCAATTTTTCAGCCCGCCAGCGCCACCGTTCCGATCCTTTGCCCGCCCCCCGCCCCGCGAAGCGGAGTTACACGCTGTCCGCCTGCATGGCATAGCATGTTGCCGGGACCGCCGCCGATGCACGCCAAGAGAAGAAGCTCCTGACCGCAGGCGCTCTCCACACGTCCACAGATTTCGCGCGGCCGCGGGTCGGGGAGCGGCGTGGATCGGACGTCCGTGGTGAGGTACGCGAGGGGCAGTTGGCGGGCCTTTGGTGCGCATGCGGACGGGTGCCGATCGTGATGTGCACGCATGTGTTGCAGATGGCGCGCTCCAGACAGAACCTCGCCTTCGGCCAATCTCGCGTACGGCGGAAGCCAGTGGACGGACAGTGGAAGCCGGCGGAAGTGAAACGGCGGCATGTGTGCTGGCTGAAGCCGGCGGAAGGCGGCGGGACTTACTTTAACCGTCCACGTTTTTGGATACATGGTTTCTGGAGTCGGCAACATGGCCTCATGTCTGATTCTAGCCATCTATTTTTACCGCATTGCAGCCACTGGGGATGTAGCTTTTGTGTCATGCCCGTATTCGGCCAAGCAATACCACCAATAATGCGTATACCGTTGGCGTGCAATCGCCATTGATTGTCGGATAATAATGGAGTGGCCCTTTATGTGTTCACGATTCTGGAATGCATAGTCGAAGTCCTCCTTTTCAGACTTGCACGCGTGCCACTTGTTGAACACGCGGTAGGCGGCGCATGTGCTTGCGCGTCGCAGGCGGCGCTTGCGTTTCCCGGCTTGTATAACAGCGTATCCCATCGACGCACCACCACCGTAAGTTTGTTGTCTGTTTTGCAGTCCTGGATTCTTTCGATCCCCCGCATTGGGCCAAGGTACGTGGCGCGAAGCGGTGGCTGATCTTCCCACCAGAGTGTGGCCCTATGCTGTATCCGTACCCGAAGGCTGGGAGACCCCCTGGTAGACGGCATTTTTTGACAGGAGCAGACGAGTGCAGGAGTTCGGGGGGACGCGTTGCAGTGCCCAGTGGAAAGAAATCGGCACGCCGCAGAAGCCTCACAATAAATCAGATATCGAAGCCATTGGCACAGGTGTATCCCAATAAGCGGCGCAGCCGATTTGACATCTGACGTGGGAGGGCAAGCGGAGGTAGTACCAATTGCGCGGGGATGCTTGGGCAACAGGAGGCCGTGAGTCTGCAGCCCAGTGCCTTGTTCTATTCGCAGGCTGGCCATTAGTTCGAACTTGGCTATGATAAGATTGGGTGCGTTGCCGTGCCAGCGCAGCGTATTCACACAAGCGCATGCCTTCAGCATGCGATACATTCAATCGAGGCCGACCTGGCTCGGACAACAATGCGTTGACACTCACATGGCAGAGCAAGTCCCTTGAGGTGTTTGGGATGTTGACGCAATGCCAGTCAGGATAGTATGCAGTCGGACTGGATCGCCTCTTGGAAAAGCCCTAGGTCTTGCGTGCTCACCCCTGCAAAGTCTGGCTGTGCATTTCTATGTGGAGGAGTCTTGCGATGGATTGGACGGGGGCAAGGGGGTGATTGAGGAGGGATGGAAGTGTAGTTGGGGAGTGTCTCGGTCAAACGTGTGACAAGGAGACATGCCTTGCCACGCTGGCAGCCCCAGGGCCGACAAAGCGTTGCCAACCTCTGGCCCCTCGCACACGAGCTGATTCCAGCACCGTAGCGAAGAGGAGCCAAATGGGAGCTGATAGCGTGTGCCCCAGCTCTCCGCGCCAGCCTGCCCCCAAGCCAGCGCCCCCCTGCCATCTCTCCCACGCGCTGCTGCTCCGCCCACGCGCTGATCCCAGCAGCTGATGATGCGTGGCTTCTGGCACTGCATCCCGCTGCAGCCATTGCCTGCTGTCTCGCACTGGCACCGCTGCTGCCGTTGTCTGCACGCGCTCTCGGACTGCTGCACGCGCACTCGCGAGCCTCCCCCGCACAGGCTGGTCCCAACGCTGTACCCGATCGCGTCTGCTGTCGCGCCCATGGACTGGCTTCGGTGATGGGCCCAGCGCTGCAGCTGATGACGTTGGACTCGCGTCCTTTCTCCACACCTGCTGCAAGTGCCTGCCCGTTCGCACGCCTTGGCATTCGCGCACAGCCTACCCCCAGCATCGCAGCATATGATGTCTGCACGTGCACGTCCCTTCTTGCACGACATCTTCCAAGCAGGGGTTTCTGATGATGTCGGCTCACACGCTCTCGCCCGACATGATCCCATCATTGTGGCTGACGATGTCGGCTGGCATTTGTTGTCGCACGAGCAAGTTCCAGCGTTTTTGTCGATGATGTCTTCTCGGACGCCCTCGCCATTCTCAGCGTTGTGGTTGACGAGCTCGGGCTCCAGCTTCGCCTCACACCTCTCGCAGGATATTGTACGACCAGCTTGCCGTTCGCCCTTCTCGCACGCCCTGATCCCAGCGCCGTGGCTGATGACATCGGGCTCCAGCTTCGCATTCCACCTCTCGCTCAGTGGCGGCAGGGCATGCTGCCGCTGCCCACCCTTTTCGCATCCGTTGTATCCAGCACTGTTTCTGACACGCTCGAGCTCCAGCTTCGCCTCCTGCTTCTCGCAGAGTCGGACCCGCCAGTTCTCTATGTCGTCTCGCGTAAGAACCGCCCCTGGATCGTCGCTCACATGGCTTCGTCGCTTCGTCGCGCTTCGGCCGTCAAGAGCCTCTGCCTCTTCTCCGCTCGTGGGCGCCTCTGCCGTCTCAGAGCCTTCCGTCGCTTCGTGGGCGCTTCGGCCGTCAGGCACATTCGCCTCTCCCCCGCCTGTGGGCGCTGCTGCCGGCCCAGAGCCTTCCGTCGCCGCATGGGCGCTTCGTGGGCGCCGCACAGCTGGCACCCATGCACTGCACAGCCTTTCTCTGGCAACACCGCTCACGGAGCACATACTGCGCCACACAGTCGCCCAGGGCGGCCACTGGCAGCCGCGCCTTGACCCCTGACCTCGCGCCCCCCTGAGAGGCCGCTCGGGGTGGCCGTTGGGCATCAGTCCCGGGCGCGTGACGGCACGGCCGTCCCTTTGGAGGATGCCGACCTCCCTTCAGGGCGCCAGGGCGGGGACAGTGAGCACACCGTACACGAATCGGCCACGCACTCGGAGAAGTGTCTTAGAAGCATTCGTGTTTCTCACAGGCGCGGGCCTTGTCTGTAGACGTAGGGCCCGCACCTTCGAAGAAGCGGCTTCCTTCCTAAGAAGCTTTCCCCACTCCCCCTAACCCCCTTTATGCGCGCCGCCAAACAGAGACGTGGAGCGGGGAGCAGGGTCCCACCTCCTCCCTCCCCATACCTCCGACGTCGTGCTGTTTGGTCTCGCCGTGGTCCGCAGGAGGTCTGGACTTGTCTCCCTGGGCCAGAGTTCCGTCCAGAGGCCGAAGACGAAGGAACGCTTGCCGCCACGTGTTGGTGTTCAGCTTCTCCCGGATCTGAGGGGAGGAGGTGGAAAAGGAGGGGGGGGGGAGTACAGTAAACCCAGTACCCGCCAACGGTGATTAGAAAACGCCCACCCCTTGAGTCTCTTCCTCGTGAGCGCCTACAAGAGTTCCGCTTCACATCCCCGTGTTGCAAAGGAGTTGCCGTTACTGGTTGTGGCTGGAATGGCGGCGGCGAGGTGAGACCAGAAAGTCCGGGCAATTGTCCAGCGAGGGCCCCGTTTTGGAGCACGCGCCTGGCATTGACACCTACGGGAACTCTGTAGCCAGAGCCCCGACTTGAAAAGGAGCCGCCCTCTATCCGTGTAATGCCTGCGCAATCTTCGGAGGAAAGAGCAGAAGAGGTCAGGAAGTCTCAAGCGAAAGTCCCGTTTTGAACATGAGCAGCTCCTATTTGTGTAATTGGTTGAAGCTTTGCAGACGAATGCGCGCGGCGCTAAGGAGAGAGCCACGTACCCCCTCCGCCCCCCCGTCCATCTGTGGAACCTTTTGAAACGAACGCGCGCGGCGCTAAGGCGACCACCTCTCCATCCGTGTAACTGCAGGGAGATGTTAAGGCGAAGATGCATGGCGCTGAGGCGAGAGCCACATTTCCCATCATCCGTGTAGTTGCTACGGTTTGTTAGGACGAATGCGCGCAGTGCTAAGGCGAGAGCCACCTTTTCGCCCGCCATCGGTTCGTATAGTTGTTGGGATACTCAAGCTCGGGTGCAATGAACGTGGAGAAAGTCTCAGGCGAAACGCCTGGCCTGGTCTACCGACAAGTTAGGTGGCCAGACGAGGGGGAGTTGTCCATATGGACACAGGGTCGAGGAGGAGGAAGATGAGTCGTGCAGTTCAGGACAGGAGCACTTGCCACATAGTGTGCACCGCTCACCTCGCACCGACCTGTACCAAACAGGCATGCCAGCTTCATCGGGGCGTGCGGAACGCGAAGCGTTCATAATAGCGTTCGTAATAAAATGTGACCCACCGAGCCTGCACCGCAAAGGCTTAGCGGTGTTGGGTTGCCTGCCCGCCCTGATGGTGGCAGGGAGGAGGAGCAGGAGGAGGAGGAGAAGGAGGAGAAGAAGGAGCAGGAGAATGAGGAGGAGCAGGAGGAAGAGGAGGAGGAGGAGGAGGAGGAGGAGAAGATAGCGCGGAGGACTGGAGGAGGACACTTTTCTTGCGTCGCCAAAGTTCTCAGGGCTCCCTCTTTTCGTCCTGTGCCCGTGTCCGCCCGCCCACTAGACCGCCTACGTCATGCTTCTTTCGCAGCGTCGATTCCAAGAGCTCTCAATTGAGAACGCGTAGGAAAGCTGTTGCGGGACGCGCTGGAATTTCCTGCAATTTGCTGCGGGGATGCATGCCCGACAGTCGTGTACAGGAAGGCGGCCTGGCCCAACCTGCTGGCTCATTGTCAAACCGTGAGCTCTCTCAACAAGTCATCGGGGGGAAATTTGACTACAGCCAGCCATTCCCGGGGACGGGTTTGTCATCCCGAGCGGTTTTTTAGCCGCCCCAGTCGCCGGCGAGGGCCGACGAGAGTCGAAAGTTACCAAAACCTTCTGGATTTCTTTCGCAACGCAAGGGGGTCGGGGATTCACGCACGCCTCTTGCCCGACCCGAGGGGCACCCGCTGGACCGGAAGGCCCGCCTCGACCCAGAGGAGCCTGTGGCACTCCCCGGGGGGGGAGAGCGCCGCCATGGGCCCGCGTTGCAGCAGTAGCAGCAGCAGAAGCATGAGCAGCAGGATCATACGGGGGGGAAGGGACCAGAACACACGTCACTGATGATGCAGCACGCCCTTCCATCCCGAATCCCCCTCCACCAGAGGAGGGACACACAAGATTGCATGACGAGCCCGCGTTGCATTTCGCATTGCGTAGCGAGCCCGCCGTGGGCGCCAATTGTCTGTCAGCTCGACGCTTGTAGATCGCGGGTGGGTCGCGGGCCGCGGGCGGGTCGCGGGCGGTCTCAAGCGGGTTGCGGGTGGATCGCGGGCCGGTCGTTGGGTGGGCTTCGGGCGGGTCGCGGGTGAGGATGGCGAACACCAGCGACAACAACGAGACGGTGTAGGACCGCTCGGCCCCTTCACTCCAGGTTTGACCAAGGATCTTTACCAGGCGCAAAAGTTTTGAGAGGGGATCGCCCTCCACCCACGCATCAGTCATAAGATTTAGGAGCAAGCGCACAGCATCGGAGCTAGAGCACGCTTTTCAGTATGAGCATCTCTCCATCCGTGTAGCGATCGAGCATGTGAATGCCCAGTGGCCACGGACTGCACGGACATCTTCGCGGCGCTTTCCCTTCCAAGTTGGTATTCTGGGGACCGTTTTCGGGCCCTGTGCAATCAAAAATTGGATCCGTTGCAGAAGCGACATCCCTGGAGAGCGCGACTTCGAACATAAGCCGCTCTCTATTTGAGTACCTGTCGGGGGTGTAAAGGCTTAGAGCCATTTGGTTGAGTTGTGCTGTGAACTCGCGTCATCCTGCCCCCAGGGCAGGCGAGGAAGTGAGGCCAACAAGAGCGCGAAAACGGCAACACAACATCATAAACATGAACCGTCAGAGCCCTGCGCGGACTGCTAGGAACTGCCCCTGGTGGCGCCTCTGGCACCGCCCCTGGGTCCCTCCGCGCGCCTACGAGGGGGGCCCGGCGCCGATCTAAGAAATCTGCGCGGAGTTCCGACAGCTCCGAGTTGATTCTTTCATTTACGGTAATGCAGCTTTGCGTTTCTATATGATCGCGTCCTGGCACCGTTTCCAGGGAATCCGGCAGAACTTGCGACTTGGGACTTGTGAGGGCTTGGCATTGAATCTCAAATCGGGTGTTTTCGTGTGGGAGATCCTCGCGAAATCGACCCCCCTGGGCCTTCCTTAGGAAGCTCCATGGAAGGGAAGATCATTGGCGGCGATCCCAGGGGGGAAGTGAGAGAAAGCGCCTTCTCAGAAAGAGCGCGATGTCACTTAAGAAGCCCCGGCGCCTCCTGAGAAGGTCTGCCTCCTGTCACTTCCCTCCTGGGCTCGCCGCCGAAGTAGTCAGACTTAGAATGATGACAAATCGCCCCAGAGCCCGAGTGTCCTGGAGCACTTCGGAACGGCCGTGGCGCCCAGTACATCCTCCAGGGCGGCCAACTTTTAGATGTTCCAGGATGTCCTCATCCTGCGCTTATCATCATCCTGCCCGCCTCTGGTAGAAGAGGGACGCTGGCATGAGCGCAGACGCTGTGCTCTGTCGAACTTGCCACGCTCAACGGCACTGAACCGATGGTGAGCCAAACCGTGAAGCTGGACAACGAACATGGAGGTATCCGCGGGGACTGCCTGGGCGGGCAGAGAAACTTGTAGAGGCAATGGCGCCTGGGGAAGCTATGGCGATCAACGCGTGCTATGAAATTGTCCCGCGGCGCTGAGAGAGCGCACGTCTCTGCCGAGAGCGGCGAAAGCCGGCGCGACAACAAGCACGGCAGGGGGAGCAAGAGGCAGCAGGCGCAAGCAGCGGCACACAGCTCTGACATCCCTCAGACACCGACGCCGCGCGCGCCGCTTCAAGCCTCCCGCCTCTCTGACGTCGGGGGCCCCGGCATCCCCTCGACCACCGCGTGGGAGGAGGGAGCCCCTCTTCCTCTTCCCATGCCCTACACACACGTGTGGAACACATATGTTTGCCTCGATGTAACGGATCGTAAATCCCTCGCGGCGGATCAAGGCCCTTTGCGAGCAGTTACTTGACGAGTAGTGGAACGCGCTTGCCTAGCCTGGGTCCCCGACCTCAGAGAGGTGTGGATTCCGGCTCTCTGAGGTCGGGGGAGGGGATCCTGGCTCCCTCTTCCCCTCGCGCGCCGCCCCTTCCTCCCAGAGGAAGGGGAGGGCGGCGCGCGAGGGCACTCCGGCCAGCGAGCGTGCCTCCCGGCGGCCTCCAAGGGCAGCGTGTCCGCGGAGCCGGGGCAAAGGCGCACGGCACATACCCGTGGTCCATGGTGGTACAGGGGTTTCGGATGGGGTGTTTACAGACGGGTCCTGGGGCTAAGGTGCTCCCAGGATTTCCAAGGAGGCCCCTACGGTGTCCAGGGGATCCTTCACAAGGCCCACAGGGCCACGGGGGCTCCAGCCTTGAGCGAACAGCTGGGGGCACCTCGGGCCAGCGGCGCCTTTGGCAACCCCCCATCGGAGGTTGATGGACACCCCACCCTGCCAAGTCGATTCGCGGTTTGCCCTTTGCGGTTCTCCAGTGGTCGTGGCGTCCACAGCTTTCGCGGGCCTGCGCCCGCCGGATCTGGTCTCCGGCCATTTGTGTTAAAAGAGTTGTTTTGCCAGAGGGGATTTCTGTCCACCTCTGGAGGCTGAAATCGAGTGCAGAGCGGCCGGCTAGCAAGAAGAAGACAAAGTTGTACAACAACGTATTAGCCAGGGAGGACCCCAAACAGTGATGTTATATATATATATATATATATATAGATGCGGGGTGCTACGTGTATACGTATATATATATATATATATATATATATATATGTGTGTGTGCACATACGTAGCACCCCGCAGTCGCGGATAAGAGTGAGGGGGCGGTGGGAACGTCTGCAGTCTGCGAGGCTCTGTAGAAGCCCGCCGCAGGCGCTTATTTTTTGTTGAAATTCTAGAACGGGCCCGCCGCAGGCGCTGATTTTTCGTTAAAGCAATGTGGGTGGGTCGCGGGGTGGGTCGCGGCGCGGGTCGCGGGCGGGTCGCGGGTGGGTCGCGGGCGGGTCGCGGGTTGGGTCGCGGGTGGGTCGCGGGCCGGGTCGCGGGGAGGACGACACCAAACAACAACAACAACAACAACAACAGCAGCAACAACAACAAACAAAAATCAAACAATCAAGCACACAAACAAACAAACAAACAAACACACAGCACAAACAACAATAATCCGCATCGCCGGATACCACTTCAGCCACGCACCCAGAGACATTGAATGACCGTTCGGCCCCCTCACTCTGTATCTATAAACATATATGCACGCATACGAGCGTTGCAATCTCAGTGGTGCAATCCATGTTATTTTTTCTTGGTGGTGCATACCAAGCAGTGCAATCGGTGTAGTGCATAGTCATGCAAAGCAATGCCATGCAAAGCAACTCAAAGCATTGCAACGCAATGAAAAACAAGGCGATCGGAAAGCAAAGCAATGCAAGGCCACGCAACGCAACGCAACGCAACACAATGCACACCTCCGCACGGCAATGCAAAGCAACACAAGGCAACGCGACGCAACTCAGCGCAAATCAACACGAATGAACGCAACGTGATGCACATCAATGCAACGCAATGCAAAGCGATGCGCGTCGGTACAAAGCGATACAACGCAATACTTCGCATTGCAACACAACTCCAAACATTGCCAACACATGCAAAGTAAAGCGATTGCAATACAAAGCAATACCAAGCATTGCCATTTCAACGCGGCACAGCAACTCAGCCCGATGCAATGCAATGCAACGCACTGCATCGCAGAGCAATGCAAGGCCATGCAAAGCAATTCAACACAATGTGATCCTGGGCGACACAAAGCAACCGCACTGCAAAGCGATGAAACGCAACGGAAAGCGTTCCAAGGCAACGCACGGCCTTGCAAGCAATGGACAGCAATGAAACGCAACAAGATGCAACGCGGTGCTAAGCAATTCCAGGCAATGCAACACAGCACAATGCAATGCAAAGTGTGAGCCTCGCACAATCAAAACCGTGACCGTGAACAGATATGCAAAGCGATGCAACGCAATGCAGAGCACTGCGTTTGTAATGCACGGCAACGAGAAGCACTGCAAAGCCATGCGCAGAGCGAGCTTCGCACAGTCTAACTCGTGACCAGGGACGTCGGCGACGGGCGGCGACGGGCGGCCACAAACGCGGGTTCTCGGATCAGCGCTGGAAACCCCCAGGCGGCGCCTCCGACGCCGCCCCCTGCGCGCCCCGCGCGCTTGGGAACGGTGGTCCAGCGCCCTGCCAGTATATCCTCGCGGACTGCCGAAATCTAATGCTCGTGGTGGTTGCCCGTCCGTGTAAGTATGCGCAAATGTGCACGTTTGCGGTCTCAGGTTTGAGGATTTGGGTTTCCCGGCTATGGCCCTTGGATCTATTGCAGTGACCGACGAGGGCCAGATTCCGATAGTTTTTAGCCGATTGGTTGTTGGGTATGCCATGTCCCAGGCTCTTCAGTATGTGGAAACATGAGGTTAGCACACGGTTTTGAAAACGACGCCGCTCACCGGGGCCATTGTTAGACGTGTCAAGCCTTAGAATGATGAGACGTGAAGAAGTCCCAGGCGAAACGCCAGGATCGCCCTACCGCCACGCCTGGGGGTGCGACAAGGAGCTGCTGGAGGTGTCGCAGCAGCAGCAGCGGCGGAGCTGGAGGAAGATTAGCGATGGCAGGAAGAGGAGGAGAGGGGGTGGGCGAGCATGGGGAGACCCAACGGAGGAGGCGGAGGACGACGACGAGGGAAATGAGGAGGATCGTGAGAAAGGCACGGGGGAGCAGGAGGAGGTCCTGCCCCGTTGGGGGGGGGGTGGAAGCAGGAGGATCCAGGAGGGATATGGGGTTGAAGACGGACAGTTGAGGGACGTGTGAAGAGAGGGAGGGTCGGGTTGAGGGACGACGAAGGGCAGCGGCCAATGTGTCCCTGACTGCTACACACCATGCCCCCCCCCCGCAATGCCGCCGATTTGCCAGGTTTGTCCATTCTGCATCGCTTTGTTTGCGCAGGCGGCTAGAACATGTCCTGTGACAACAGCCTTTACATGTAATCCTGCCAGTTTTCGCCATCATCGCCATCGTGTACGTCAGTCGTGCTGTTACTTCGCTAGACCAGTGATGGTGTTCGCTACGATTGCATCCTGCAGGGGTTGACGAAGTTGATTGGGAAGGATTAGGGGAGGAGGGGCCAGAGGAGGAGGAGGAGGAAGTAGAGCAGTCGTATGATGGTGGTGTTCTCGATGATGGTGAGAGCGAGGGGTAGGGAAGATGAGGAGAGAGAGGATCATGAGGAGGAGGCGGAGGTTGAGGAGGACGATGACGAGGGGGACGAAGAGGAGGGTTTTGAAGGGGAGCAGGATACGAGAGAAAGGGGGGCAAGAGATAACGGGACAGAGAAACAGAGTGGAAGAGAGAGAGAGAGAGACAGAGAGAGAGAGAGAGACAGAGAGTAATAAACAGGGATGGCGACATGAATGTAGTTAGATTGGTTTGGGGCCGTCCTGGGGCCTTCCTCACTCCATCTTGGCCTGTTCGGGGCCCTCTGTCGGGGCTTTCTCCGGGCCTTCTCGGGTTGTCTTACGGCGTGTTAGGGTCCTCTGGGGCCGTCTTGGTGTTTTGTGGGAGTCATCTTGGGATGTCTTGTCGGACCGTCTGGAGACTGTGTAAGGGCCTTGGCCTCTGGTGCCTTCTTGGGTGGCCTGGCGAGAATCTAGAGTCCTGGAGTCATCATTTGGCCGTCTTGGGCCCAGCAGGCAGCCCTTGCATCTTAGTCCGAAGCGCCTGTCACGCAACACAAGTCGGTTGTTCAGTGATGAATCTCCGAATCACGCATCGTCAATCGCTTTGTGCTTCAGTGAGTTGGTCTCTTGTGGCCCTTTTGGGTCGTCTGGGTGGAACGGGACGCGAGCTCGGGCTCGGACTCGGGCTGTGCTCGGCCCGTGGTCAGTTCTGGGTTCGGGCTCGGGCTTAGTCTCGAGCTCGGGCTCGGGCTCTCTGGTGTCGCCAGGATCCCAACTTTGAGGGGTTCGGGCTGTGTAGCGATGGTGAGCGTTGTTGCATGGAGTTTCTCGTGTTTACCTCGCGTGCTGTCTGTACACATGAGGCGGATCCCTTTGAGTACCTTGTGGTCGCTGTCCCCGGTTGATTGGAGCTGTGCTTCAGTGGCCGTATCCAATCGGAGTGACACCTCTGAGTCCTCAGCAGATGTGACTTATGTGTGCTGTCGGCGCCACAAGGCACACCAGAGGCCTGAGTCATCAATGTTGATCATCATGTACGCAACCACCGCCGCCACCAGGATAGCCGCTATCACTGTGCCTCGGCTCAGAAGCGCACTCGGGCTGAGGTCTGAGATTCGTACGGCTAGCTTCTGTCATGATGGCGTGTCCAGGCCAGGCGGGCCGAACCGTGCAGGTGCTGCGTCCCCCTCCCACACCGATTCCGCCATCATCAAGTAAAGAGGCATGCGGCCGAGAGAGGATGGAGTGCGCCCTAGCAGTCGCTTTTACTGCAGCGGTGCACCGAGGATCGCGGCGAAGAGTTTGCCCTGCCACCGGTCTGATGGCAAAGAAGCCCAAAATCCAGAATGAGTGGTACAAAGGAGCCAAATCTTATGGAACAGTGGGCGATGATGAATTCGAAGAGGCAGAGAGGATCCGTAATGGGTTCCAGCAAACTGTGTCGTCGGCGTTCGTAAGCGCAACCAACTTGGCAGCTGCACGCAGACGATTACAAAAGCGGCGATTGTTGAAGGGGCGCGGCTGGGAGGATACGGCCACATCTTCAGGAGCAAGCGCCTCTCTTGACTCTGAGGACAACGAGGGCGAGACGGACGGTGAATCAGATTCTGACGGCGCTGAAGATTGTGAGGGCACTTCAGGCGGTGACTCCTCGACCGGAGCGGGAAACGCGAGGGAGCGGAACAAGATTGCCGGAGTCAGTGGGGTTGCCAGCTCTGCCGGCAGCCGGGCTGGCGACGCTCCGAGCAGCGATGCTCTGTTCGTTGGCTCGGCATCCACAGCCGTAGCCTCATCCCCGAATTGGGTTTGACCCTGCTGGCCTGGAGCAGGGCCTTCACTCTAGGCTCTAGGCCTCCCAGATGGCCTCGGGTCGGAGGATCGCGCCGCATCGCCGATGCATCGCCGATGTGGCTCGCCGTGGAGCCAGAATTTCCACACGCTGATGGCGCCGATGCGCCACCAACGTCACCAATGCATCGCGCCGCATTTACTCGGACCCCATGTAGGAGGCAACTATTGTGACTTCATCGATGGCTCCGGGGGCGCTTGTCCTGACCGAGTCGGGCGATTCGGGGGCCCTGCGGGCCCATGGATGTTTCTCGCCTCGCTGGGCGACATATTATGTGAGCCGACGCTCCTTCCAGCCAGACCTGGATGGCTCTCCAGGCCTCGGAATCAACGAGGGCCAAAGTTGCCCTGAAGCGTCCGAGACGTCTTTGGGCCCGGAGGTGGCAAGGCCCTCCCCCTGCGGCGTGGCGACTTCTTCTCGACGTGTGCCCCTGGGAGTCGCGGCCACTTCCCGAGGCCCGCGTTGCAGCCGGAGGACGGGCCAAGGGCTGAACAACGTTGGGTTCAGGAGGGGCTCCTGGTTTGCGCACCACTCGTAAGACTTTAGGTCGGGAAACCTCCTCGAAGCCGAGGCTCGCCGCGGCCAGAACAGCCCCTCGTTCCTTAGCCTTCGAATGCTTCCACGATGGCTGTCGTTTTTGGGGGCAGCACCAGGGCCAGGAAGCAGCCCCCAGATGCCAAGAGCGTGGGACGGAAGCGGGAAAGCACGCCGCGCTTCTTGTGACGCCTGGCTGCGAGGGGGGGCAGGAGGAGGTCGCCACAGAAGCCCCAGATATCTGATGCATCAGTCCGTTCAGCTCGGGCCCCCCGGGACTCCAGACGTTTTCCCCGAGTCATGTGTAGCATCCGCCGGGAAGCAGAAGCTGCATTGATGGCACACCGCCGTGGGGAACCAAACAGCGTGCCGCCGTTGAAGGAAAGCCAGGCCTTCGGACAAGAACGAGGGGGTAACACGCCCACGGGCTTTCAACGGCGGCGCGCCACCGACTCCCTCGTTCCCTCCCGGATCCCGTCTCGATGCCTTACGGTCCCGCGGGCGAGGCCCGGCGAGGGCCGCCAGAGGGCGTACACGGCGAAAGCCCTCCGTAGTGGTGTTGTCCAAGCGTTCGAGGTCTGGCTTTAAGTCGGGCCTGTCCCTCTACAGGGGGAAAGTCAAAAACAGGCAAAAAATAGTCTGGGGACGATTTTTTTTAGAATTATTGCCCATTTGGGAGTACTTTTATTTTGTCGTCCACAATCCCCCTGCAGGGGGACAGGCCCGACCGAAGTCTGGCTTTCGGGCCATATAATTTTGGACCTACGGCGGCCGGTCTGGACGGTTTCAGGCACCCACCAGACCGCTCTCGGCGAGGCGCAGCTGCTGGTGAACATCCCGAGTCGAGAACGCCTCCAACCAGCGGAAGCATACCGAAACTTGCCCTGAGGTCCGACGTCGCGAAAGAACGCAACATCGCCGCAAGCCGCTCCGTACCCCAACTTTCTGCAGCATCTCTCGAGCTGGGTCGAGCCGTGAGGATCCCGGCGCAACCGAAACCAAGCGCGAAGCGCCCGGTACGGAACGACAGCGACGCCCAGATCTCAGGGTAAGTTTGAGAGTTGTTTCATTTGGGTGTTGGCACGCTTACCTGCATAGCAGTTCCTCCCCTCCGTCCGCCGCTTAGTCAAATAGCACTGGGCCGAGAAGGCGTGCAAATGAGTCCCGACTTGCATGCGGTGAAGAGTCCCTTTCACCCCCCCCACCCCTCCCCCTCCGCAGCTCCAGAGCTCCCGACCGCTTCCCCAGAGGTAGTGTTGCGCCCCAGGCCCACTTTGAGGGCCCCCGGGCCCGCTAACGGGCCCAGGAGGCTGACATCGAGGAGAAAGGCCGCGACCGAGCAAAATCATATCCTCGGAGATCTGGGATGTCCGAGGCCCCCGACTTCGCGTTGTTGTTTTCGTCATGCCCCCCCAGAGGACGGGACATTCTCCCCGGGAAGCCGCTCTAGTAGTTGTTTGACGGTTCTGGAGCCGGGCGAGGGCCCCCAAACGCCGAACACATCCAAAAGCCGTTCGATGATGGCGTACGCATAAGTTTTCGGAGTTCCGCGCGGATTCCCTGAATCGGCGCTGGACCCCCCTCCTCGCGCGCGGAGCGCGCCAGGGGCGGCGCCAGAGGGGATTCAGCGCCGATTCTCAAGAAACCCGAGCGGAAGTTTATGGTTACGACGTTCTTTCTTCTACTTGCTTGGTGACGTTTTCTCCACGCGAGGGGGCCCGGGATATCCGAGGACCCCCCCCAATTGCCCCGGGGGGGGCGCCCTGCTCCTCGCGCCAAAGCTGGACCGAAGCCCGGCGCGTCGGTCCGCCGTGTCGGAGCGGGACCCGGCGGTGGACCTCTCCGTCGCGGAGCGCCTGGCCGCGGAGCGCCAGGGGGGAGGAGGGAGGAGGGAGGTGAAGGAGGAGGAGGAGGAGGAGGAGGAGGAGGAGGAGGAGGGGAGTGAGGAGGAGGGGGAGGGGGTAGGGGGATGGGGTTACCAGGATGAGGAGGAGGAGGAGGAGGAGGAGGAGGAGGAGGAGGAGGAGGGAGAGGAGTGGGAGGAGGGGGAGGGGGACAGAGGAGGAGAAGGAGGAGGAGGAAAGGGGGAGTTGGATGAGGGAGGAAACAGATGGATGAGAAAGCGGAGAAGAAGGAGAAGGAGGAGGATAATGAGGAGGAAGAGGAGAAGGGGGTAGGCGCAGGGGGGTGAGCAGGAGGAGGAGGAGGAGGAGGAGGAGGAGGAGGAGGAGGAGGAAAGGGGGGAATAGGATGAGAGTGAGGTTGATGAGGGAGGAAAAAATGGAGGAGGAAGCGGAGAAGGAGGAAGTGTATGAGGAGGAGGAGGAGGAGGAGGAGGAGGAGGAGGAGGAGGCGGAGGAGGAGGAGGAAGGAAGAGGGGGGGGAGTTGGAGGTGGGAAAAGGAGGGTGAATGGAGAAGGAAGATGGAGGAGAGAGGAGGAGGAGGAGGAGGAGGAGGAGGAGGAGGAGGAGGAGGAGGAGGAAGCGCAGGAGGCGCAGGAGGAGGAGGGGGCAGAGGGAAAACTTGGTTGGGAGTACGACCGAGGAGGAGGAGGAGGAGGAGGAGGAGGAGGAGGAGGAGGAGGAGGAGGAGGAGGAGGAGGAGGAGGAGGGAAGAGGAGGGAGGAGGCGGGGACCACTCCTGTTGCCTCCTCCAGTCATCTTGCATGTGCTCCTCCCTCCTTCTCCATCCCAGTTCCGTTCACAGAACTCAGACCTGTCGCACCCCCAAAACGTGCCCGCAGGTCAGACGGGGCGTTTCTCTTGAGATGTTAGAGAAGACGACGGCAACGGCGTCGGCGGTGACGACGACGACGACGACGCTGACGTGGGCCAGAGTCCTTGGATATTCTTCATGGGGTCTCTTCGGAAAGCTCTCGGGGGCCTTTGTGCAGGAATTCTGGAGCCTCTTTGGAGTCTCTTGGGAGTGGATTGGGAGTCTCTTCGGGGCCTCTTCGGGCTTCCTGGGGACCCTTTGTGGGTCTCTTGGGACCTCTTGGGAATCTCTCGGGGCCTCCTGGGGGCCTCTCGGGGCCGAGGACTCGAAATGTCCGTTCGGGTCCCCCGTCTGGGCACGCTTTTGGAGCCGTCTCGGGGGCCTGATGGGCCGTCTTGCCGTCTTGGATGCGTTTTGGGCTACTTTGGGGTCCTCTTCGGCTGTTTGGTGTCCTTTTGGAGGCCTCTTGGGACGACATGGGGGGCCTCTTGCGCCGTGCTGGAGCCGCGGGAAGTGGAAAAGGCGAGGACGCCCACATGTTGTTTTCCCCCATATCTATCTGTATATGTACATACACAGAATCACGGGAAATCAATAACCTTGGCCTCTTGGAACGCTCTCTGGAGTGCTCTTGGGGTGTCCTCGAGGCCTCGTGGGCAGTCTGGAGGGCGTGAAGGCGTTTTGGATTGATCGTTTGGCGATTGGGGACCCTCTCGGACCGTGCCGGGTGCCTCTTGGGGCACTCTTGGCCCGTGTTGGTATTTTCTGAGGCCCCATGACCCCCAGGGGGGGATGCGGATCTGACCCCCTCCCCCCTCCCCCTACTCCCCCCCCCCTGCCACCCCAGGACCCCCCCCCCCGGGACCCCCTCCGACGCCCCCCCCCCCCCCGACGGGAGAGGGATCAAAGGGAGGGGGTTCCCCTTCGACTCGATTACGACATAGTTTTTTTTTCGTTCGCTGACAAGCGTGAGAAAGAGGGTGCAGGGAAAAGGGGCGACGGAGACGACGACTGACGGAGACGACGGCTCGAGACAGATGCCCGCACAATGTGTGACCTTGAGTGTCGAAATCTACAACCTGGTCAAGGATCGAGGGTGGGCCGTTTTCAAAATGTGGCTCTCGCTTTAGCGCCTCCCACGCTCGTCTCGAATGTTTGCACCAGTTTCAAAAAGAAAGGCCGTCTCCTTTCTAAAATGTGGCTCTCGCTTTCGCGCCGCACGCATTGATCTGAACAGCTTGCATCAGTTTCAATGGATTTTAGGGTTGAAGATCCAGGAACTGCGTTCTGGCGCGATGACAGGACGAAGCAGTCGTGTAAATTCGCGCTTCTGAGGTCCCGTGAATGATTTTCTGGCGCAATTCAGTGACATCAGGACGCCACAGTCATTCTGATGCGCGGCGGTGAAGTCCCAGGAGTTGTCGGTGGGCACGGTTCATCATGATTTCTATTGGATATCGGAAGTTGAAGAGCGTCCGGTCATACTAATTATTTGTAAATTTGTCATGTTATTTGTTCTGGTGTTGGCCTTGTTTGGGGCCTCGCAGAGTAACATTTATGTTTGAAGGGACCCAGGAAGAGGGAATTTGGAGGGCGGGTTCCTTGCAACTTTGTTGATGCGTCTTGAGGTCGCCCTGGTTATATTCCTCCTCCTGCCCTCTTCATACCTCTCCCCCCCTCGGCCAGAACTCCTGGCCCAAGGAGGAGGAGGAGCAGGAGGAGGAGGAGGAGAACCCACATCTCCGACGTATCGAAAAAGATCACGGAGGATTTGGTTAGCAGTTTTCGGTTTTTCTGGGCTCCAGTACCGTCGGGAAAACAATTTGGGGTGATACACCGGCTTGGAGAAAGAGCCAGGACTCCCTAGAACCTTTTTTGGGAGAGAACACAGAAATCACATCTTGGGAGGAGGCTCCGCCTCCTGGTCCTTTTCTTGCTGCGGCTGTTCGTCCCACCCCTCCACCTCATCCTTATACTCCAGGTCTCCTCCGCCCTCTTCTCCCCTCCTCTCCCACCCCTTGCCCCCCCTTCACATCCGAGGGATTATTCTCTCATTCCGCGCGTTTGGGTCATTGATTTCGGCCTCTGTGGGCGCTGGGCTCCAGGACAATCGAATTTTCTTCCAGGACGACATCTCGTATGGATTGGAGTCGATCGAACTACGAGTGAGGCTGGGCGACTGAGTGCGAGTGGATCTGGCCGTGAGCGAGTCTAGGGACAGTCGGACCGAGGCATAAGATCGAGTTCGTTTCGGGGAAGGTAATCACGTGTTCTCCGTGTCCGTTGGATGTTCTTGTGCATCCTGGGGAGGGTACCGTCGGATGCCCCGTGCGTTTTGGCCGGTGAAGGGCCCCGTGTTCTTGAGGGATGTTCTTCTGGCCTAGGTCCGACGGCCTGCTTGGGCTATGGGCCTGTGATGCGCCAGTGGTCGGCTCCACCTTGGACGGCCCGAGCGCCATGCCGGACCGGGCAGGTGTCCTGCCCCCTCGGCGGCTCCCCCAGGGGAATGCGCAGGTGCCGTGCCCCTGCATCGCGATGGTCGCTGGGCTTTGGAAGGGGGCGATTGGCAGGGGGACGGGGGGGGGGGCAATGGGGGGTTCAGTGGAGAGTGAGCGCACAGCTGGACGCGAACGGTCCCGTGATATGCCCCCTGGCCCATGGCCCGCTCACCCGGGCGCCCAAATGCGTTGCCCGCTTCCTTCAGATGGCCATGGGACTTTGAACGGAGAGGAACCCTACGTGCGAAATGTTTGTTTTACTTGCGACGATTCTGGACATGAATCTGGGCAGGAACGGGCCCGTGATGTGTATACCCCCTCTTCGGCTTCGATCGTGTCCCCTCTGGGGGCATACCTTCCTTACTTGCTGCGCGAAATTGGTGCAGTTCTTGAAACGGGGGAAGAGAGGACGGATGGAATGGGGGGGGCAAGGATGGAGCACGGAAATAGCACGAGGGGGGCTAGGAGCGGAAAGCACATGGCAGAACCAGAAGGGCTCATTGGGTGGGTAGACCCCAACAGGCGGGTCGGGAGGGTCGGCCCAAGCGGCCAGGTCGAGAAGGCGTGCTGCTGAAGCGTGAAGACCGTACGAATTGCGAGGAGAGATCACGGGATAGCGCGATTCCCCAAGTAAAACGCGAGAGAGGCCAAAGCGAGAGTGTGATTCCTGAGTGTCGAAGGCGCGGCGTCTGAGTAAATTGCGAGGACGTGCCACGCGAGAAAGCGATTCGTGCATTAATTGTAAGGAAAACCCCCGCGAAAGCGAGATTATGTAACAACGTGTAAGGAAGTCTCAGGCGGGAGCCGTTGGTATTGTTGGCCCGGGGCCAACAAAACAGTTTGGTGAAACCGAGCTTGCCGTGTCAAATAACAGGGTGCGATCCCCGGGGGGCACAACAACAACACCAACACCAACACCAACACCACCACCAACATCGACACCAATCATTACAAGACTGTTCTCTCTTACTTGTTCGAGTGCCGTTCCAAACGTATACCCCGCGTCTTCGTTTTCGATCGTACCCCGTTGGGGGCATATCTCATTATCATTTGCCACGTGTACGCAGTGCAGCTCCTCAGTCAGCGGAGGAGAGGGCGGATGGAAGGGGGAGGGAGAAGGATGGAGCACGAGAGAGATTCGCAGGAGGGGTGCTAGGAGCAGAAACACGCGGCAGAGCCAGACGGGCTGAAGCGTGCGTCTTGCATGTGTCGCGATGAGGTTTCGAGAGGCAGCGCTAGTCCCGAGTAGATCACGGGAGAAGCCAGAGCGAGATAACGATTCTTGAGCGTCGAGGGCGCGGCATCTGAATACTTTGCGAGGGAGTCCCATTCGACAGCGCGATTCCTGCATACATTGTGAGACTGTCCCGCACGGGAGAGCAATTCGAAATACATCGCGAGGAAGTGTCAGGCGAGATCTGTTGTTGTTGTAGTTCGGTGGCCAGGGGCCCAATCTGAGGAATCAGATTTTCCCTCGTGAGGACAAGGTGAGGAGCACTTGAATTGAAAAATGCACTGTGCACCGGGCAGTGGGCATCAACCATAAGAATGTCTGAGAAGAAGCACTTAAGCAAGTCAACGAACAACGGCAGGACTCCGCTGCGGCACGAGGCGCGGGCGCGCGGCTGCTGTCGGGGGCCGCATCTGCGCTCAGCGCCGCGGGGAGACACCCGCAGGCAGACGGGGCTCCACAGCGGCGGTCCTGGGCGAGGATCGATCGACGATTGATCGAAGATCGATCGGGACAGAGCCGTTTCAGAGTGGGCCTCGTCTTCGACTTGGCTTCGCTCGGGCGTGCGCGTGTTTCCTTTTGCGAGGACCATCGAAGATCATCCTGCGAATCAATACGCGCCAGATGTTGAAAGTCGGTATGTTTGGATTGCCATCTCCCAATCTACTCTTAGCGCCATCATAATATCTTGGATGGCCTGAGCTCAATCTACTTGATCCGCCTTCCTACTTCATGTGTTTTACCTTCTTCCGGCCGACGTGTGCACGCACGAAGCCGAAACATGCATTGGGATTGGACGTCCGAGCGATGACAAATCGAGGATCGAGGGAGCTGCCATCTTTTCCTCGGCAGAAGGACGACGGAAGGTGGCGGAAGCAAAACGAGGGCGTTTCTGCCAGCCGAAGCTAGTGGAAGGAGGCGGAAGTAACGCATGCATCCCCAAGGGATTGCAAGTTGTTTGGTTGCATCTGGCGGGGCGCACATGGGGTCAGGGGGAACGGGGAAAGCTTCAGGAGTCTGCTTCTTAAGGAGGGCGAGGCCCTGCATCTGTAGACAAAGCCAGCGCCTGCTAAGAAGCATCCTCCGCACCGACTCGTGGATACCGCCGGTCTACCTCCTGCTTCCTTTTCTCCTCGTTCCCCTTCCTCCTCCCTCCTCCTCCTTTCCCTCAATGCTAGAAGCCGCGGGCGGATTCATCCCCAATGCTGTTGCCCCTTTTCCTCCTTGTCCTCCTCCTCCTCCTCCTTTTCCTCCTCCTCCTCCTCCTCCTCCTCCTCCTCCTCCTCCTCCTCCTCCTCCTCCCTCCTCCTTCCTCCTCCCTGCTCCTCCTCCTCCTCCTCGTCGTCCCCTCCTCCTCCTCCTCATCCTCCTCCCTCTGCTCCTCCTCCTCCACCTCTCCGTTTTCCTCCTCTTCCTCTTCCTCCTCCTCCTCCTCCTCCTCCTCCTCCTCCTCTTCTTCCTCCTCCTCCTCCTTATCCTCCTCGTCCTCCTCCTCCTCCATCTCCCCCCCCTCCTTCCAGCTCTACCCATGCTCCTCCTACTCCTCCTTTTCCTTCGTCCGTCTGTAGCCATGCTGGCTCAAAGCCAGGGCGGTGTCCATTTCACTGCCTCCATGGGTAGGCTCCCACTGCGTGTCGCTGATGCCGCCTACAGGCGCACCGTACGCCGCCGAGGGGAGGAGCCCTGTCCTCCACAGCGCCTGGACCCTGGGGCCCGCCATCCTCGCCAGCGCATCTGCACGAGGTTGACGTGCCCGGAGCTCCTTCGTTCTTGTCTTCGCCACCGGCCTCCGCACCGCCGTGCCGTGCGCGTCGTGCCCGAGGTTGCAGAACCCCTGCCTCTCGGGCAGCGCTGGGGCTTTGGCAGCGGGCCGAAGCTCCTTCTTGGCGACGTGGCGAGCCAGCCTGACTTGGCCAGCTTGATCTGCATGCCCAGCGGCTGCACCTGCTCCGTGAACTCGCAGACCGCCCTTCGCATCGTGACGACGCCGCCGTCGCCGACCTGCCCGATCCACTGGATGGTAAGGTCGTCCATGAGGGACATCGGGGTCAGCTGCTTCGCGATAGTGCGAAGGCGCACGACGGCCTGGCAGAGCAGCACCGTCAGCAGGGCCGCGCTGTGGATGCAGCCCGGCAGGATGTTGCTGTTGGCCACCATCTTGCGGCTCCAGCAGCCGTACGCCTGCAGCACCCTCGGCATCCTGAAGTAGCTCACGCACATGCCAGCCAGCCTCATGGGGAAGCCGAGTGATCGTGCCTGCTCGAGCAGCGGGCCTATGAGCACGCTGTCGAAGACCTTATGCAGATGCACGATCGCTGTCCAGCTGACCTCCCAAAGCAGCTGGGCGATCTCGGCCTGGACTTTGTGGCCGTGTGCCGACGCCGTGGCCGTCGCCCCGCGCCGCATGCCGAAGATCGCATCGTCGGGGTGGTTCTTGTTCCACTGCTGCGAGGGAGGCTTGCGTACCCTCGCCCACACCCGAATGAGCGTGTTGGCCAAGGTGATCAGGCGGCAGCCCTCGCCGTCGGGCTTCGGCAAAACAGGACCATGACGTTGATGATCCGCACCGACGGCTAGCACAATAGCTCCTCGCATCGAGTGAACAGGGCCGCTAACACCTCCACGGCGTGACCCGGCACGAACCAAAGCTGCCGCGGGTGTAGTCGAGACTGGCCTACCGCGGTCTTCCACGAGAAGGTGCCCACCGCCCTCCTGATGTTGCCGCCGTTGATCGTGGGGAGCGCGGGCCATGTGGCCGCATCGCCTGGGGTAGCCTTCCAGGGAGCGCCGTGCGCCTCCCAGAGGTCCTCCCGCTCGTCCATGGCCTGGTCCGCCAGCTGCGCAGGGTCTCCGTCACGGTCGGCTCGCACCACCTCGAGGCGTTCCAGCCCCCGCGTCGCGCGGAGAGCTCCGCTGGCCCCATGGGCGAACGCCTCGTCGACCCACGCATTCCAGCGATTCGCTGTCGCCTCGCGGCGTAGGCTCTGGAGGTCTTCCTGCTGGGTGGCGAGCTCCGCCACGCGCGCCTCGAGGCCCCGCAGCAAGAGCAGCTCGGGGCCGAGCGCGAGCAGCGCCACAACCTCAGGTGGAGCTTCCTTCCACGCGTGCTGCGCTCCCCGAGTGCGGCGGAAGAAAGCGATGGGCGCCTGCAGGTTCTTGGCGATCCTTGGCAGCGCGGCCTCGGGCTGCTGCGCGGCGCGCGGCGCCAGCTTCGCCGCGTGCGCGCGGGCCCGCGCGTGCGCGGCCTAACGGGCGATGGAGCCCCACGCCAGCAGCTCGGGGGTCGCCCTCAGCCTCTTGCGCGGCGGCTCCCAGCGCGACCGCGCCCGCTTGGTTTCGGGCGGGCCCGCTCGCCCCTCATACCGCGCGCCGCGCGCGGCTCTCGCCAACGAGGCCCCAGGCGTCGAGGAGCTCGGCCTCGACGCCTTCGATGACCATGTCCCAGCAGTCCCGCAGCTCCGCCTGTTCGACGGCCCCCGCGTTCTTGTGACTCGCACGCCCCCAGAGACCCCCGAGTGGCAGCCGCGCGCGCCCGACGGGGGGGGGAGGCAGAGGCGCAGGTGCCTTGTGCACGCGCTGCCACAGGACTTGGTCCTCCGCCAGGGTAGCCACGCCCACCGCCCTGCGCGTTGGCAGGGCGGTCTCTTCACGCGCCACTGCCGCGCCGATCCTCGGCGCCAAGATTGCTCTCGCCACCCGGGGAGGGCCTTGCAACGGGCGGGCCCCTCGGGCGCGGTCGCCGCGCCGCCCGCCACCGCAAGCCAGTGAAGCGGCAGCTTCTCTGGAGTCAAGTCCCAATCGCCTATCGCCAGCTAGTCGCAGCCCTGCTCGCCCAGTTCCGCCAAGTAGAGCGCCAGCGCGTGCAGGAGGGCGAGGTTGTCGGGGTCGTCGGGGTCGACGCCGGTGACCAGGCACGCTGACCACCGCGAGCACGAGCCCGCCAGGTGGCCCCCAAGCCACGCGGGCAGCGTCCAGCCTGCCGGGCGCGAGGGCGCCAGCCTAGCCGCGCTTCTATCCCCCCCATGGGCGCGGGCGCTGCCCTGACGCCGATGTCGCTGCGCGCGAGGGCCGCAAACCCGCCAGAAGTTCCCCCGCGCTCCGTTTGCACCGCCGCCGCAGGGGCCCCTCGTTAGCCCAAGCCCTGTCCCGCTCTAGCTACGGCAGTTTCGCCAACGCGGCGCGGTGCCCTGAGCCGCTACTGGGGGCAGTCCGCGCACTCTGCCGTCAGCGGGTTCCTGAGGGGCACAACATTGTCTCCGTCGGCCGACGTGGCCACCCCTCGTGGACGTCTTGGGCCCGATGGGGGCCCGAACTGGGAGGGCCTGCGCGCCGTCCCGCGCCTGGCCCAGGGCCTCGCCAGGGTCGGCGACGTCGGCCCTGGGCAGAGAAGTGCCCAGTATGAGCGGGGCCTCACGCCCTCGCCCTTCGCCTGTTCATTTCGAAACGCCATCGGCAGCGTGGCTCTCGGTGCCGACGGACCTGCCCCACGATTGCATATGGTTGGCTGGCTAGGTGAAGAGCTGCCGGCCCCTGCATGGGCACCCGTCCAAGCGAGTCTGCTGGCCCTCGGAGTCGCATGCTGCGCGCCAGCTCCGACCCCCAAAGCTCCGCTGGCAGCCGACGACCCCAGGGGCAAATCATCGCAGGGCGCCCCATCAGTTTACTATGCGTGGCGCACAAACTCCTAGCAGGCCTCCTGTTACAACGTCTACAACAGGCAGGGGCAGAACACCGGCTGACCCAAACTCAACGCGGTTTCCGCCGTGGGCGCGGCAAAGCAGACGCCGTTCACGCAGTGCGCCGCCATATCGAGCTCGCACGCGCCAGGAAAGATGGGGGCGCTACATTTGTTGCCCTGGATGAGAGAAAAGCATTTGATTTCATTAGCGTGAAAGCATTGTTGACAGCTCCGCGCCGCTTCGGGGCACCCCAGAACCTGCTCGCGCTGATTGGGGATATTTATGAGGCCTGGCGGTTTTGCGTAGCCGACGGGGCGATCAAATCTTCTGAGTGAAAGAAAACAAATGTCTGGGCTATCACAGGGGCGCCCGTTGTCGCCACTCCTTTCCGTTATGTTGTTCGTTGCGGTCTGGCGGGGCGCCGTGAACAACCCGAACGACAATGGCGCGGTCGACATGGTTGCTGGAAGTCTTTCGGCGCCGCCGCATGCCGACGACACGCTGCTCATCGGGAGAAGCCAAACCAGCTTACGGCACCTCTTAGACAACATCGCATTGGCGGGGGCGCGGGTTGGACTGGAGCTGCACTGGGACAAATTCCGGACGATCACGATAAACAACGACGTGACGTTGAGGACGCCGGCTGCACAACTCGTTGCCGAAAAAAACCAAGCATGCCATATTTGGGTGTTACATTGTACAACAGTAGGCAGTTGGGTACCGAGCTAAGGAACATGATGGGGGCAGTTTGGGCCGGATTTTCCAAATGTGACAGAACATGGGAACGCTTTGCTATGAGCCAGCGGCGAAAACAGGAACTATTCCAATCGCTGGTCACATCCGAAATCACGCATTCACTGAACCTGGCGTGTCAGACAAAGCAGAAAAGGGAAGGCTGGATGGATATCAAGCAAGATGCCTGCGAATAATACAACATCTACCTCCCGCCTTTCTTACGCGAGTACCGAATAGCAAAGTTCCGGAACAAGCTGGTCAAAAGCAGTGCAGTGCGCAACTTCTTCAACGACAAATACCATTAGTTGGCAAAGTTGGCCGGGCGCCAGACGCGGACTCTCTTCGGCAACTCGCGTTTCAGCCCGGCGCAGTTCTGTCAGCTGTGGATGCGCATCAAAGGAGGAGAGGCAGACCCAGACACGAGTGGGCGAAACGCCTGCACAAGGCTTTGGTTGCTCATCTTGGCCCAGAACTTGGGGGCAGCGCCTGCAGGACCCCACCGTGCGACGCAGCATTGCTGAACACATTGCACACCATGGTGGTGAAACCGACCACCAATAGCATGATGTAGCTTTTTGTTTACATACGTTGCATGAGATGCCCGGTGCTTTGGCGTCCTACCTCCATTGTCCCCCCCCTCCTCCTGCCGCGCGCGCTGCGATTTTTGCGACCGCCGCCATGCCGCCGCCCCTGCAAAGCGGCGAGAATAGGCTGGCCCTGTCTTCTTTCGCCCGCGCGAGTGAGTGCCCCGCAACTGCCAGTCCCACGTCGCGGGCCCCGAGCCGCTCCCAACGGGACTGGCCCCCCCAGGCTCTCGCCGCCTCTCGGGTCGAAGGGCGCCTTCGCGTGAGCCGCTCCAGCCACGACATCGACGTCGCTCAGGAGGCCCCCGTCGCGCGCGGCGGCGCGCGTCGCACGTCCTCCACGTTCGCCATGGGGTGGTCGAACAGCTGCCCCTGGCTCGGGGAGGTGCGCGCGGTGCCCGACGAGCTGCGCCCCCGTGGCCCTTTCTGCTGCCTCGCCACCCAGCCTCCTCAAGTCCTGCAACGCGGCCGCCGCAGCCTCGGCCAGCTGCCCTCTCGGCCTCGAGGCCGCCGCAGGGGCCGAAGGCCCAGGAGGGCCGCCGTCTGCGGCCTCTGCAGCCTCTGCGAGCCCCGCTGCAGCAGCGCGCTCGCCGTCGATCGCCCCCAGCGCCACCGCCGCGGTCTCGGCCCGCCGGTGCGCCGCGGCCACGTCCACCGCACTGCGCATGGGGCTGAAGATCTCAGCATGAAACACACCATTCCGACGCCTGCGCGCCATCAGCGCGGGACGAGAGCATCTCAGAGCAATTTATCACAGGATGCCCCCACCTGTCCGACGCACGTCGCGGGCCTTGGGGGGTCGCCCCCAACGGGGCTGCCCCCCCCAGGTCGCGCCTCTCGCCACCTCTCGGGTCGAAGGGCACCTTCGAAGCAGCAGCGCCAGCCGCGGCGTCGGCGGCTCCAGGCAGGCCCACGTCGCGCGCGGTGGCGCGCGTCGCATGTCCTTCATGTTCGCCATGGGGTGGTCGAAGAGGTGCCCCTGTCTCGGGGGGGCGCACGAGGTGCTCGCCGAGCTGCGCCCCCGCGGCCCTCCAAGCTGCCTCGCCGCCCCGCCTCTCCAAGTCCTGCAACGCGGCCGCCGCAGCCTCGGCCAGCTGCCCTCTCGGCCTCGAGGCCTCCGCAGAGGCCGGGCGCCCGGGCGAGCCACCGTTCGCGGCCCCAGCAGCCGCTGCGGGCCCCGCTGCGCCAGCGCGCTCGCCGTCGATCGCCCCCAGCGCCACCGCCGCGGTCTCGGCCCGCTGGTGCATCGCGGCCACGTCCACCGCATTGCGCATGACGCCGACCGTCTCGGCCTGCAACGCACTCACCATGCCCGCCGCCAGCGCGCCACGAGCGCGGGACGGGAGCATCCCAGGGCAATTTAGCACAGGATGCCCCCCCAACTGGTCTGACGCAAGTCGCGCGCCTTGGGGGGTCGCCCCCAACGGGGCTGGCCCCCCCAGGCCGCGCTTCTCGCCGCCTCTCGGGTCGAAGGACACCTTCGCGGCAGCAGCGCCAGCCGCGGCGACGGTGGCTCCTGGCAGGCCCACGTCGCGCGCGGTAGCGCGCGTCGCATGTCCTTCATGTTCGCCATGGGGTGGTCGAGCAGCTGGCCTGGCTCGGGGAGGCGCGCGCGGTGCCCGGCGAGCTGCGCCCCCGCGGCCCTCCAAGCTGCCTCGCCACCCCGCCTCATCAAGTCCTGCGACGCGGCCGCCAAGGCACCGGCCAGCTGCGCGCGCGGCCTCGAGGCCACCGCAGGGGCCGAAGGCCCAGGAGGGCCGCCGTCTGCGGCCTCTGCAGCCTCTGCGGGTCCCGCTGCACCAGCGCGTTCTCCTTCGAGCGCCTCCAGCGCCGCCGCCACGGCCTCGGCGTTCTTGTTCGTCGCGGCCATGTCCACCGTGCTGCGCGTGACGCTGACCATCCTGGCATGCATCCCCCTCGCCAGGTCCGACGCCTGCGCGCCATAAGCGTGGGTCGGGAACTCCTCGGGCCTCCTCGGGGAAATCCATCGCAGGCTGCCCCCAACTGTCTGGCGCACATCCTGCGCCGCGCGCAGTGCGCCTCTCCACGGGAAGGGCCGCCGCGCGCAGCGAGCGACTGCTCCCAACCGTCGCGGCAACCGTCGCCGAGGGGGCGCTCCAAATCGGTGACCAGATTGTCGCCGCAGGTCGTCTTGATAGGGGCTGGTCGCCGCCGGCGGTG